CTCACCCCTGTGCTCGGGGCAGCTGGAAGGCCAGCTGGGAGCTGGTGCCTGTGTGGGCAGGGGTGGCTGGTGGGTCACCTCATTACTGCTCTCAGCTGGGCCATGGTCTGCCACCCCCTGTGTGCCATCAGTGTCAGCTTCCATTCTGTGTTCATCCACCCATGGACACCATGTGTGCCCAACCACGTACACAGCCTTGGGATGTGCTCAGAGAGGAGCAGCAGCTGGGGGTTCCTCTGGGGGGGATTGAAGGTTGGAGTAGGGTTTAATCCAGCCCTGTGTGTGGTACAGAGGGTTTGAACATCACCCAAGGGTTGTTTGCCAATCATCTAAGGGTTATGTGTGTCTGAAAGGCAAAGAGTGGGGAGGACCAGGAATCAAGTGGGATGAGCCAAGTGAGGAGAAATGGAATTAAGGGAATCAGAGGTGATATTTGGGGTAAAATACGGCAAAAATATATGGTGAAATATGGCTAAGAGTCTTAGCCTAGAAAATTCCATGTCCCTATTGAATTCAGGGAGAATCTGGATCTCCTGGGGAGCAACGGGATCCTTGAAATAAGCCGTTGTTATGCCAGTTTGGGGCTTTGTTTATTTCTTGCTCTTTAAACCTATTTAGGGTGAAACATGGCAAAAATATATGGTGAAATATGGCTAAGAGTCTTAGCCTAGAAAGGCTAACCTAAAAGGTTTCTTCACACCCTTTTTCTCTGGTAGAACTTGCCACCTCCAACCTGCTGAGCTCTGCCAGACGTGCTGGGCTGCAGCTCGAGCAGGCAGTGTGTGCCCAGGCTGGTGATGCTCAAGGGACTGTGGCAAGACTGCATTTCCCAGGACATCTCCACTCCTAAATAGGGCTTGTTCTCTCTTCCTAGACAGCAGCAGCTCGTTAGAAGGCTCTCTGCAGGGACCAGGCCGGGGCACAAAGCGCTGTGCCCACGCAGCCCCTCCATACACTGCTCCTCTCTCCCCCAAGTTACCAAAGAGTGACCGTCACCCCCTGGAAGGTGAGCACAGTGTCTCTTCTTCCCAGAGTTGGCTGCTCCCAGCCCCTGCCATGGCTGCAGCAGGGGCAGATGTGCTGTGCCAACGCGAGCTGTGGCCTCAGGGAGCTGCTTGGCTTGGCCCTGGCATGGGATGTGCTTGGTGTTCAGAGAGGAGGGAGTGAGCTGCTCTCTGGTGAGGTTCCCCACATAGATGTGTAAGGCATGTGGAATGCAGTGAGAATTTCTCCTAACCCTGGTAGTCATCATCTCCTGCCATCTAATCTGGGGTTTAATCACCCATCGCTGTGCATGGTATTAACAGCCAAAAGCTGCTCAGCTGCTTCAGTCCATCTCCCCTGGATTTTTCCACAAGGGCTTGCTGTGCTGTGTTGTGCAGACACTGATGTGCAGCTGTATGGCCAGGAACCTGCTGTCCCCTCACAGGATCCTTGTTCCTCACAGTCCTCCCTGAAACAAGCAAGAGGGATCTCACTGGTGTGTCCTCCACCAACTCAACCTGCTCATTCACATCCCGCAGTGCTGCTGCTTCCCACAGCCCTTTGGGATGCCACTGGTGCAGATGTGCTGGGCCACAGTGCCAACAGCAGCTGCAGGAATGTCCTCTGTGGTGTGTGAGCCACAGGTGTGCCTTGTGTGTGCAGGTGGGAGGTTTCCAGCAGGCCCAGGTAGCTGAGGACTACCTGAGCTGAGCAGTCTCCAGCAGTACACTTCCACCTGGCCTTTGTTCTGACCTACAAACCCTCCATGGTGCAATCTGGAGATTTGACCTTTCTGAGGCCTTTTAGTTAATGGATGGTGCAATGTGCCAAGGTATTAGTCACATCTCTTTGCAACATGTCCCTGAGAAAATGCTGGAGGCTCCTGACTGCGCTCAGGGCTCAGTGGCTTCGTGCTCCGTGGCTGTCCCTTCAGAATCTCCATTTCCCTGGCTTTGCTGGGGTTGCTGGTCCCAGGTGTGAGTGCCCAGCCCTGTCACCACTGAGAGGGGAGGTTTTGGTCTCCATCCATCACTGTGCCCTGTGTTCTGCAGGGTTGCTGACTCATCTCTAAGCACAGCAGCTCTATCTTGCACCCTGGCACAGGTGGTCCAGGGAAGCTGTGCCTGCTCCATCCCTGGGAGTGTTCCAGGCCTGGTTGGATGGGGCTTGGAGCAACTTGGGCTAGTGGGAGGTGTCCCATGGCAGGGGGTGGGATGAGAGGAGCTTTAAGGTCCTTCCAACCCAAACCCTTCCATGGTTCTGTGATGGACAGTTTCTAGTAGCCTCAGTATCTAGTGATTAACTGTAGGTTTGTCACAATGCTGAAGTGAGGACCGAGGTCCATGTGGGACTGTCTCATCAGTTCCAGCACACTGACAAGGCAAAAGCTGCTCCCTGAGGCTCCTCTGTTTGTCACCTCCAGAAACACATCTGCGCTGGTCTCCTTGACATTCCCCTCTGACAGATCAGTCCTTAGGGAGCCATGAGCAAGCCACAGCCCCTCCTTGTCCCCTTGCCCTAGGGCAGGCAGTGATCAGCCTGGTATTGGAGCACTGGTGGTGCTCTAGAGCTTCAGGTGCCTTGGGTGGGTGGTGGATATTGCACACTGTGTTGTCAGTGAAGAAAGAACGTTTTCCACAGTGGATAACTCCAAGGAGGAGCCCAAGAGGTTCTCTGCAACGTTGATTCTTAGTCTGCTTCAAAGTCTGTTCAGTTAGCCTCTGAATGGGTTGTGCCATCTGGATGCCAGAATTCTCCATCCTCTTCCAGAGAATTACAGACAGGTGGGCAGGAGCTGTGTGAGAGTATGATCCTGTCAGTGTGTGACTTTCCTGCACAGCTTGGGCTGGTTCTGTGCTTGGTCGAGGCAGGGGAAATGAGGTGCACTTCTAAATTACATTGAGGAATTCATTCTTGTCCCACATCTAAAAGCCTGTTCATCCTTCTCCCCCAGGAAAATGAAGTACAGGCAGGAATATCAGCATTTCGAAAGGTATATTTTAAGCATAGGAGCCTGAAATACTCAGATATTGAATATTTCTCAAGCAAGGAGGTACATCTCACAAGGAGGAACTCTCTGCCTTCAGCAGAGTCTCAAGCAAGGAGGTACATCTCACAAGAAGGAACTGTCTGCCTTCAGCAGACTGACAGGCAGCAGCCCCTGAACACTTCCAGTTTGCCAGGTGGAAGCTGTGAGCAGCAGTGGGATGTCTCCATTCCCTGTGCCTTTGGCAAGCAGCAGAGACATGAGGAGAGTATCTCACATCTTCCACTGTTTTCCACTCTTACATCCCGTGGCATTTGTGTTGCTTTTTGCTGGAAGACTGCACAGTGGGGACCTGCCTTCCCAGCCCATCACTTGCTGCAAGCAGTGGGTGTTCAGTAGTTGTGCAAATCAGAGTTATTCTCATGGCCAAACTCCTGTACTACAGCAGGAAAACGATCCTGTTGAGTCTAGAGCACTATTTGTTTAATTTAACTTTAATTACCTGCTCACTCCTCTCCACCTCTCACTGTGGTGTGTTTCCCTGCAATGTGCTAATGCCAGACTGGAGTTAAATCCAGCAGCTTGTGTAGGAAATGTGCCTAAGGATCAACCACCTCCTCCTGACTCCAAAGAGCTTATCAAGGGTGAGATCATGCCTGAGCACACTGGTGCCCTGCCACTTGCAGGAGCATGTTGGCTTCTGCTGCAGCTGCTTCACAGGGGCAGTCACCATTCCTTCTTGCCTCACTTCCCTCTGCCCTTTCTGGAGGTGTCATTCATCTGAGCAGTGCTCTGTGTACTTGGATTTTCAAGAACACCCTCAATCTCTTCTTACATTGATGCTGCTACAAAGCCTCAAGCTCTGCTGCAATGTTTACAGCCCAACCAAGCACTCACTTGTGTAAGGAAAGGGAGCCTGGGGGTGAATGTGCACCTTCAGGGCAGAACAGCATTGTGCCTGGCCCCATCCTTGGCTCTGCACATGTGGGGACAGGACCACATACCTGCAGGGTGCCTCACTGCATTCCCATCGGATAATGACAGTTAACTGTCATGTGAGGTATTTTCTGAGGGTGATTTGGACCCTCAGCATTGCACCAACATGAACCTGTGCACATGCTCTCCCAACCACCTGAGCTGGGCCCCAGAATTCCTTCTGCTGACACCTATCCCTGCTGTGAGAGCTTTGGGGCCTCCAGGAGCAGTTAGACATGTATTTGGCTGTCCCAGCACACCTGGGGCAGGTGTCTGGGGCTCCCTGGCAAGCTGAAGCTGCGTGTCACCTTGGAGGGTGCTGCATTCCTGTCGTGGTTTCACCCCAGCAGC